ATCTTAGTTGTGTTGCCTACCCCTTTCTGACGTATGCTCCTGGCATTACTCGCAAACCCGTTGCTTACGCTACTGGCGAGGCCGTTACATGAGTGGCGGATCTCTGCTGCTTAGTGGCAGAGCCGTTATACTCGTGCTGGAGCCCGTTCCACAAGCTACTGGCGGAGCCGTTGCGATCTACACCAGGAAGAGCCGCAACATGTCATTTATTTATCCTAGTGGCGAAGCCGTAACTAACGCAGACGCAAGCCTAAGGCATCACAGCTCTGAGGCAGGTCATTGGCGCAGCCGTTGTGCATATGTGGCGGAGCCGTTCTGTTGCTACTCTGGTGGTGGCGCCGTTGCTCGAATCCAGGCGCAAGTGTATAGCTGTGACATATGCTGCTGTCATAGCTAATTGCAATTGCACTGGTTAGTCGCAAAGTTTTGGGATCTTCAAAATTTAGAGGATCTCAGGACGTACTTGACACCCGTACAATGCTCTCAGGAAGATACCTAGCACGCCTGATGCTCCGAAACACACCAACCAACCGTGCAGTAAACACATATACAGATAGCAATAATGCAACCAACCAACTTGACATACTATACATTAGGTCTATGCCACATATGTATATATATATATATATATTTTTTTTTTCCAACCCTCTCCGACGCCCGCACTCGGCAGGTCAGGGCACTAGCGAAAACCTCGAAACCCAGCCCGCATAGCACACACTGATGGCCACGCCTCTTGGAGACAGGCTCAAACAGCTAGCCGGTGCGACGGGAGGCCGAGGGTCCAGAGAAAAGAGCCTAAGAGAGGCCTAGACTAGACCAGCGATACCAGTCACCTTACGTCACTGCGTCAACTGTGGATGGGAGCAGCTTCGCGAGCAGATAAGAGAGGCCCAAAACCAGCGATACCAGTCACCTCACATCAACTTGCGATGTGAGCAGCTTCGCGAGCAGGAGCAGCGCCAGCAGGAGGCCATGGAGCTCAGCAGCATTGTTTGAGGCAACACCCAAATACGCGGAAGCCTGAGCGACGCACTTCCAGGAAAGGAGACCACCAGCAGGGTCAGGTATAGACAGCCACAAGGCAGTGCCAGCGCCAGCATGACCCACAGGGTTGTCGCGAGCAGCACCATGAAAGGTAACAAGCACTGTCAAGGGCTGTTTGAGCAAAGTGGACGCAGCTTCCCAGTCAAATTGCTCGAGCGTACATCCATCAGCCCCCTTGTTGGCCAGAGCATCCGCAGCTTGGTTGTGCAAACGAGGGATGTGAGAGACAAGCCTGAGGGAGTCCGAGGCCTGAAAGTCCCGAAACTCCGCACCACTCTGGAACAGAGAAAGAAGCATGTCGTGGGCTGCACGTACAAGCGGTACCAGTGCTGAAGCAGCATCGAGCTGAGCTTCACCAGCGATCCATTTGGAGACAACAGCACTGTCATCTACGACAAAGACCTGACAGCGGCAGGGACGCAAGGGACGCCGCAAGAGAGCAAAGACACGTTGAAGAATCGCAACATTGCAAGCAGGTGCCAGCAAGTCTGTGGACAAGTGAGGCTGGGTGAGGTGCATCCCGCCATACATATATTGGGGACCCCTCTTGGCTGTTTTACGTGTCATGGAACTAGTACTGTCCTATGATCCTTGCACGCCAGCCCGTAGGAGAACAGCTGCATTGTTTTAAAACATGCACGTTGTTTTAAAACAGTCTCGTCCTCACACTGGATATAAGACCCTATAGGCGGAATAAAAGCCTGCAAGCAAGCTCTCCTGATACCCAAAATCATAAAACCAAAAAACAAAAAAAAACAATATCTGGGGGCCTAGTCTCCCGGAATGTTTTTTGTTTTGTTTTTGTTAGTTGTTGTTTTGCTTTTTTGGTTTTGGGGTTCTCCTGCCAATACCTGGTCGTTGGTTTCCCGCACGGAGCTGCTTGCCGACACAGGGTTGGAGGTTTATGCCAACCTTCTCCAGAATTCTGCTGAGGACAGACTATATTGCGTGAGAATATTGTTGTCAATGTTTCGGCAGTCTAGCCAGCGCGTCGCAAGATCTTAACAAATCGCAAAGTGCCCAATTTTCGTTCAAGCATTAGTCGAAAGCCAATATCTGATGATCAGAAGCATTCTCAATGCGTTTATCTACTTTTCTTTTGGATTAAGCAACAATTAGTATCGAACGATAACTTAGCGATAGACTTTCATGTGTAAATACTTGTGCTTTCTCTAAAGATTTCCAATTGTAGCAGAATCATTATACCTGCCTACATATACATCTATGTATGTATTCACATATAACATATAAATAACCAACTTGAATTGCAACCAACAAACAATTTGCATACCCTATGATGTTGGCACGTGGGCAATAATGTTAGTTGAACTTGACTAGTAGTCAGTATTTTTGTATGATATGTTGCAAATGTTCGGACATTATGTCAGCATACATTCACATCAGCCACACACCCAGTACATCTTTAGTACGTGTTGTACGTCTTGAACCACAACGTATTACAACATAACCTACAGCCGAATCGATACCTAATCAATCAGTCCTCACGTAGCAGAAGCAAGACCCCCCCAAGGACTTACTATCTCACCAATATTTATTGAGCCTAGTATAGAACTAACAAATAATGCAACATGTTTGATCATGTCATGAGAAATATGAACGAACTCTTAGGTCTACAGTCTACTGTCTCTGGAGATATGAACCCCAAAAGACGTAATAGTGAAGTTCTTTTTTTATTTCTGGGGATATTGAGTATCTTTTTTTCAGTGCATACGAGATAGCGGTAGCTACAAAAGGAGGGAAACATCGTCTACCATTTGAGGGCGGAGACATAACACATAAACTATACAACCTCAAGGTTAGGTGCTAATGTAACTATCAGCTTTCGTGTGCATTGCACTTAATAGTCTCCTACGATGGCTGCAATACCAGTTGCCTACAAATCGTCTTCTTGGGTTTCAACTACATGTGCGTTCCAAAATAACTGCCAGAAAAATTACCTATGATGACTATTATTGAAAATACGGTAGTATTGTCACACTTTACGTAAGCATATAGCGACGGTTTGCTTGTTAACTATATAGAAAACGGAATGACAACAGCATACTTAGATACGAAATACATGTCACATATTTCAAGATTCAGATGGCATAGCAATACAGCTGTTTAAGTCAGTATTGACCAACGGTTAGATATCAAATGAATGTTGATGCGAGAACTAGTTGCGTACGAATTAAAACACACACACACACACAGTGCGCATACAAATATTCTGAAAGCATTAAGCGCTAGGCAAGTACTCAAACCGCATTCAGATGAAGTTAGGTATTGCACGTACACTACTTCAATACGCACTGCGTAGTACCTAAACACGTAACAAACATCAAAGTGAGTAGCAACTATAAAGGCAGTTTGTTGAGCAATGATGAAGGAGCTATGATATGTGCCTTCGACGCCTACATGTGATGAACATAATACCCGACATTGCCACCTAGATTCGTGTTTCTTCTTAACGTGCTGCATAGATGGTCTTGCTTTTCCATCAGAAGACATATTTGCTGTTCAATATGACACTCTACTACTTGAAGTACATAGATAAGCTGCCATGGAAATGGACATCCGATTTTGGTGCCGCACTCGTACCCGTACGACATTCAGTTACAGATGGCCACCCCACATTAATCGGTGCTTGCGGGGCTTTCGATTCATACTGTGACGTCTACAAGCATTCAACATATCTACTCGCTTGCAGCCAAGAGGGGGCCTACCTGGTTTCCCTCTCTGTATCATCAATATGTGTATGTATGTATGTATGTATGTATGTATGTATGTATGTATGTATGTATATATGTATATATGTATATACATACATACATACATACATACATACATACATACATGCATACATATATAATTACTTACACTGTGCGTATACGGTATACCGCAAGTGCAGCAAGTTCATATGAATACCGTTGGCAATTCGGGGCCTCTGCGAGGCGAGGAACCTCAGACCTGAGCCTCGCCACAGCATCCTGGACCTGCATCCCAAAAGCCGGCTCAGGGCTTTGAGGTTTAGGGTCCAGGGTTTGGGTGCATTGAAGGTTTCGGGCCTGCAGGGTTCATGCACGTCTAGAAAAGGGTTTTGTGTGGCTTCCGCGTCGCAAGCCCTGAGTTTTAGGGTCAACTGGGATTCCTTGTAGAATTGCCAAACGGCTTCAGGGATGCGCACGCGACTTTGCCAGGGTTCTGCAGGTTTTCATAGGGTTTATTTACAGCAGTTAAATATGGAGGCCTCTGAAAAATCAAATTAAGGGGACCCCAACATAAGCCCTAACTTACAGGGTCCGTATTGTGCCCTGAGCCCGAACTAGTCATGACAGTGGATGAGAGCGGAGGATGGTGGCCACGGTATTGATGATGGTAGCGGCTGGCAGCGCTGGTGTCAATTTCAACGCGATAGTAGAAGTGCCACTGACGACAATGACGGCACCGACGACTGCTACTGCAAAGCTGCGGCTCCGCCGATCTTGGCTTTCGGGATCCGCCTCGGAGAGTAGCCGTCGCTGCTCCTGCAACTTACCAAGAGCCCTGCGGTACCCATGACAAGCGATTCACCAGCGACATCCGATACCCACGCAACGTATGGGTGGTTTCGTTGGTGCTGAGAGATGTAATACAGAACTCGCTTGAAGGATCTCGCAAGAGACTTGCAAGATGTGGCCGAATTGGTGTTTGACACCTACGGCTTACGGAACTAGGGTTTACATGGGCTGGCCCTTTTCCTGCCCCAAGTTCTGGTATAACCTTGTAATTACCTGTGTGTCATCTTGCTCCCTTCTGCTGGCTCTCTGCTGTAGAAATACAGCTAATTGTCACAAGAAAAGCTTGCAAGCACTACTCAACAAGCAGCTTTCTATTCTAAGCGAAAGAAGCAGCTGCAATTGGCCCTTCAGACCGATGCCCGCAACTCACTCCCTGTCAACGTTGCATGACGAAAACCCTTAATGCAACGGGGGTCGTGCGGGTCACGCATTAGACGAAGACACATCCCTGAATCTATCGAGACCCGTGCGTCCATTCAATTGACAGGCCCTGGTACCTCTCGGGCATGCTGCACTGCATCCTCAACGGAGCGCAGCCTTAGAAGACGCGTCTTACTCTGAAGTGAGTTCGGGTTTGAGGCTAGGGTCGAGGATGCAGGGTCATGGGTCTGAGCTGAAAAGACCCAGCAAGAGCCATGGCGACAGTCTAGAGAATAGTCTTAGCGAGAATCTGAAACGGGCGGAGACCTGGTACCAGGAGTCATCCTTCCAATCTACCTCATGCCATTTACAAAGCATGCTGATACTACGAATATATCACGCTACATTTTTCGACTGTTAGCAGTGCTCCGACGAGCATCGTCTCACATCACCCACAACACTGAGAACAAACATGTATCAATGAAGATGGTGTCGCACATGGTCGAAAGGATACCGTCATGACTGTACAACATGATGCAAACTGTCGTGGACGATGCTGTTGACAAGCCACTGAAATCTAATCATTGCCGCCCCACTGGTCAATGGCAAGAGCTTTTCTGAACCCTACTCCAAGATCGTACTTCTCATAATTCTCAAACTCCGCATGTAACCCTCTCCCTCTCTTTCTCTCATTCCATCCCCCCCTCCTCGCTTAGAGTCGTGTGGCGGTGGTTGCGGTTCGTCCAAGCTTGAGAGTTATCGCGGGTGCGATTGATGATGAAAGTCGACGAGTTGAAGCTGACTTCGGCATTGTGAATTTCGGGGGATCGACGCCTCAAACACTTCAAATTTGGAGGGCCTGGGTTAGACTGAATGTGTAGAGTGTACACAGCGCCCGCATCGTTGGGGTGCTGTTGGTTTAAACAAACTTGGACACGTCAAGTGTATTTCACGAACTCGTCAGATGCTGGCCAACGTTTGGGGGTCTTGGCCTTCTCGAACGTTAGGAGTAAAGATCTACACTTACTGCAACGAACACAAGATCTGCATGCGTCTAAGCCTGCATACTGGTCGCTGTAAACATTAGCAACACGCGCGATCCTGACAGAATGCCGCTTCAGGCGGACTCTGCTCTTTTTATCCTCCGTGTGATGGAGTACAATTTCATGCGCCGGGCAGAAGCACCGAGTGAGAGAGATCGACTGAACCTACACATCTGCGTAAGAGTTTCAGCGGAACAATTACCTGTGACGCTACGCTTTCCGGGTAGAGGTCAGTTAGCCACACAACGAAACCAATCATCATATGTCATGACATTTTTCTAGAGGAGGAAATCATGACCTATTACCCGCGCATGTTCACATTGATTTTCGTTGTTGAACAGATAGACAGACATAACTTAAGACGGAGATGGGTATGCCGCTATTAGCTCTTGCTTCTGAATGCTTCGCATGGCCGGATCTCTGCAGTTCATACAGATGGAGCGACCGGATCCTCTTCCACAGCTGACAGACTGCTAGATCGTGGTTATTTGCCGATTAGTACGAGCTTGGGGTTCAAGATCTACCGATTATTGAAAGGGGTATAGGGCTGATGATGATATCACCAATTGCACAACAGCTCGGGGACATGATGCTGCGAGAGGACGATAGCTGTGTGCTGCAGATGCATGTTTACGCTCTCGCAACTGGGACTCTGCCAGATGTATGTTTAAGGATTAGTGTTCAGGTCCGGTTTCAGGTTAGGTGGGCCAGCAGATCTGCGACCCTCTTTTGGCATTGAGCGAACCTTGCTTTGCCCCAGCTCCAGGGACTTGTGATTAGGGCGAGGGTTCAGGCGGATACCGCGGGCATCGACAGCTTGTCGAAATCCTTGCCGCTCCATCGCACGGCCCATTGAGCATAGCCTCTACAACAAACCGCGGCTCCTCTTCAGGGATGTGTTTTTCTTGCTGCCTTGAACAGTTGAATCTGAAACCACATCCTTGATTGCGTGCCTGAGCTCTGTTAGCGAAGCTACTCCCGGATTGGGACAACACCCTCACGGCGAAGATGCTCCCTCAGTCCCTCAGCCGGTTCAATCGGGCTCCTGCGCATTGGTGCGTTTGCGGGTTGACTTGAGGACTGTTGAGGCTTTGAAGCCTCATGCCGTTCGCATCCTGAGCTAAAGCTCACTGGTATGTGGTTGATGTCTTGGGAGATATTTCCTCGACCCCCAAAACATCAGAACTAATTGCCTTCAATCGCAGGGTAGATATGAGCCACGAACGAGGCCTCTGTGGGTGTCCGGATACCCAGTAGGGGCTCTAGTTACTAGTTGTATGATGAGCAGCTTCCGGTTCAGGCACCAACGGATTCCAAGTTTGCAGCCGCAGGCTCGGACAGTGCATCGTTTTCACGATGAACCAAAAACAGATGAGCTGATGTTATACTGATATACAGAACCGAAATCGGACTACTCTTTCGAGGAGTGTTCGGTACCGGAATGGGGGTGAGCCAAATGGTCGCGGCCTTAAATGCAGCCCTAAGCCGTTGTCACACCAGACCTTCAGCTTCTGAAATAATCTCACGGATCAGGCGGCAGGTGTATGGCCAGCTTGGAAAACGATAACACATCTTGGGAGCCCCTGATAATAGAAAGTGCTGCCAGGTTTTTTGCGAGATGTTGGCCTACAGGAGGAATCATGTTGAACAGCATACCTCCGTTTCATCGAGAAGCCTCCGAAGCTGTAAACCTGAAAGGGCCAATGCCACGGTTGCTATCAAGATGTGTGCTTCTTGGGTGGGTGTTGATATGTGTGCACGGCGCCCCGCAGCCTCAAAGTCTAAGGGACTTGTGGCTTATGCTGTCCTTGGCCGTCGGCTTATCGGCGCTTCTTCTTGCTTCCCGGCTTCGCGAAGGCCCAGCTCACATCCAACTTGTGGTCCAAGAGGCTGTTGCCGTCCATGGCCTCGAGAGCAGTCGGGCACGTTGCGCGTTTAGGGCCTGCGGCTTACCGGCATGGCCCGGCTGCGAAGAATGCCGCTTGGTGTTGTTGCGATTGGACGGGACAAAACACGCTAGACCACTTTCGAACTTCGGGCCTTGAAACGAGTCCGAGGTGCAGACATCTATCTATGCACTGTAGGATCAGGATCCTTCACCCATCCACGTGCGGTAATAAGTCAGGCTACTGGCACAGCTAAAACAATTGACGGCCAGCCATCCGGGGAAGATATTAACATTATGCGATTGCTTACGTTGCTGAGAACCCTGGCGGCTTGGAGAAGTCCAGGACAGAACGCTGCTGCATGGGCAGAACAGGACAATTGCCTTGATGGCTGCATCTGCTTCTTGCTTGTTCTCGTACTCGATGAAGGCGTAGCCCTTGACGAAGCCTCGAACCGGGTCGATCCGCCAGCGAATGTGCGATGTGCTAGAGGCTCGTGACCCAAGGCCCACTCGTAAACTCTCAACTCCCGAAGCGTCATACTGGACCCCAAACGCATAAAACAAATCCCAAAACCAACAAAACGAGCTCCCAAGTTCATGCTGCACCACGGGGCTTTTCTCCTTAGGAGCTGGTAAGCTTCCTTAATATGCATCTTAATTAGTAAATATGACGATGTAGTAGCGATGACGAACATCACCATCGTCGTCATCACCAAGACTAGCAATGTCAGATGTGCCTGTAATCCATGTCAGGTGAAAAACTCCGAATCATTATCCACAGTAAGATCCTGGAACTACTGGCCACAATGACCAATCAAGAAAAAGCCTGAAACTAACGTCTCTGTAGTGGGCTCACCACCATCACAAGTCCTAACTCCCAATCTCTCTTGACACACACGCACATGTGCAGATGCCAATAACAAGAACAAACTTCTGTCATCTGTAATGTGCTGCAATTCGCGCTCATCTTCATCACCCTCACACCATCCGTCTTGTCGCCATGACAATCAACATGAAGGCAGTTTTCTGAGCTTGCGAGGTCTAGTTGGCGCCTTCAAGGAGGTCTAAGAAGGAGCCAGGAGGAGCCCTACTGTTGCCCTCAGAGAGGACATGCTGGGTTGTTGTATGCAAACCAGTAGTTCCCGAACCGCCATGAAGCATGTGAAGCACCCACCAGGTCAGCTCAAGAAGCCGGTCCGGCGATCCAAGTTAAGGTGCAAGTTCCTGGGCTGGGCTTGGCAAACAACGTAGCAAGCTTTGGGGCTCGGGTCCACTCTTCTTAGTCTTACGTAAGGTTTCAGAGATTGAGGGCTTCATGTATACCTACTGTTTGGAGGTTGTAGGACTTGAGCGACTTTTTGGGCTCTCTCGACAACGGCACTCGGGAACTTGGTGGAATCTTCAGCCAAATTGAAGGCAAGCTCGTATTTGAGCCTGCAAGGAGTTTTGCTGATAAAGCGGATTTCAAAACAGCGCGAAGTGTTTGCAAACCAAGGTCTGGTCCGCAGCTGCCAGCACGGACACCTGAAGGCGACGCCTCCAAACCCTGCACTCTTCGACCTTATACCTGCAACTCTCGTCTGCGACAGCCCGGGCCACCTGAACCCTGAGCTGAACCCTAAACCCTAAACGCACCGTCGCACCGAGCTTCTTGATGTCTCCGTACTCTGAGAAAGCTTCGAAGATGTCATCTTCCTGTGCCTCCTCATGGACACCGGACACCTTGGTTTCGAGCTTGGCGTTAGGCTATGTATGGGCATGCAGTTGCCAGGACTTGCGCCGTTGGGATTCGGCTTCGGGACTTTGAGGCTCGTCTTGCCGCGCCTTGGCACTTTGCATGCTACGAGTAGGGATCAATTTTGACGGGCTTAGGTGTCAGTGTATAGGTTCAAGACCTGCACAGCTTAAACTAGAATAGTTACAAGTACTGTAGTGGATTCCGGACGATTGCTACGTTCGGGCTATCAAGTTCGACTTCTCTGTATGGACGGGGTGCAATACGCCGGTACAGGGTGTGCTCGGCCGTAGTGTCCCAGTGCTCTGCCTAGATATTCACTGGCCATACTACCCTGTGCTCCAGCTTGAAGCCTACCCGTTCAACAGACAAGCAGCGGCCTGACCAACATGCTTGTCATGTTATAATTGAAAGGATTTTTATGATATATCATATCTGGCAGACTAACCTCGTGGAAGGCATGCCGCCAAAGAACCGAACTGCAATCCAGCACCACAAGCCTGGACCACCT